GATATACCAATAAATCTGTATTTATTGGTACTTTAATGTATAGACTAACACCTCAAAAAGTCAAATGTGAACTCAAAAGGATTCATAGTAGTAGTTTATCTACAGCAATAAGCTTTACCATAGCATTTTTGTTTCTTTAGAGGCTTTTTAATTCAAAACTCTATGCAAACACAAAATGCTCAATCATATTACTGGAGTAGCTGAAGGACAGAACACTGCAGTAGAAGTAATAACTCTGCATTACTTTGCTATAACTTTTAAGAAGACTTGCATATTATTTCCATTTATGAATTTCAGTGCTTGAAGTGAGATTATTACTTGCACACCATACTTTTAATTTTTGCTCTTCACTTTAGTTTAATTTTAAAAAGCCCACGGTTATAATTTCTCCAGTTTGTCTTACAAGTCCTCCCCAAACCCAGACTTTATCCTGGAACAATGAACAAGTATAAATGATTATTTAAAATGAAATAGCAAAAGAAATCCAGTTCCAGTCATAAAAATGTCAAAACAGCTTAAAGATTAGATTTTACTCTGCAGGGGAAAAAGAAACATCCTTAAGGATTAGCTAATTAAAGTTTCTGTTTGTCTGCAGTCAGCGTTAATTGGCATGTTTTTTAACAAATGGCTTAAATGCACAACATGGCCCACCAACAGGCTGTAATTGCCACGAGCAGCCCTCCACTCCAACTCCCTGCCTGTGGCCCAGGAGATTGTCTGAGCTGTGTTTATAGGAAAGCCTGGGCCTTTCTGATATTCATTTATTTGTTGGCTGGGGCTCCTCTCAGGCCTGACTCATCACCCAGCATTTGTCAGAAGATTGCTAGAACTAGACACTGCCACCAGCCTTGCTCTTTTTGCCCTACTTGGGTATGGCACTGTGTCCTGGCCGGGGAGCGCTGCTCTGACAGTGTTGCTGCATCCTCCAACTTGCATCTTCCCTCCCTATGTGGGGCAGCCTCATTTTTGCTGCTTCCTGATGATCACATCGTTAAGATACACACTGCACTGCTCAATTGCTGATTGAACATTCCAGTGTAGTTTAGTTGGTTTTCAGTCCCTGAATGCACTTAAAATGTCACAGTTTAAGTAATCCGTAGTTACTGAATAATGTTGCCTGCAGCAAAATACATCCTGATCCTTTCAGAGACCAATTATCTTACAGTACACTGATTAAGTGGTCTGAATGTGTGATAATTAGTATTATTTGAAGATAAAAGGTCAATATTCTTTTTATTTTCTTTTAAATATGGATTTCCTTTGGCAATGAAGTTAGGGGGAGGGAGGAAATTAAATACTTTCCTGATTGAGGAGGATTGAAGAATTACAAATGGGTTATTTCTAAAACCTAAGGTTTTAGAATTCAGCTGTCCTATAGCAACTCACCAGTGACACCTTTATAAATCATATTTGCATTTTCTTAAGTAAAGTGATTAAAAACCAACAACACAAACACAAAAAAACAGTTACACAAAATGGGTGCGTCATACAGTTGTGTAAACAAGAGTTAACCATTACAGGCTGAATCTGAAGAGATACCAGTATTAATCCACAGGCCTATCATTGCTTCACTATAGAGTTAGAAGAAATCGGATGCTTCTTCAGTCCTTATTATGGCATATAAGTGGAAAGTTCCTCACACAGGCATCTGTTACACTCAAAATCTTTCTCATGGGCTACATGAGAGTATACTTAATGTGATTAACAACAGAATTCAAGTTACAACAAACACCTGTTGCTAATCCAGTTACAAAAATGTCACAATTTACAGTCCAGATTAATAGAAGAATGACTTGTTATACAAAACACCAGCCTCCTTGAGATGACAAACATTCTTGAATGTTCTGATTACTCAAAGGTCCTCTGAGTCCTAAGGTTGATGGTCTTCTGCTCAGATGGTGTAGGGAGATCTAAAACCTTCTGCACAACATTTTATTGTGGATGGCACAGACAACTCAATCTAAGCAGTATAATAACTTTTTATCCCTGTAAAAACTAAAGCTAAAATAAATTAAGGCAAAAGTTATCTACTTGCTATACAAATGTTTTCAAAGCTAATAAATCTAGAATCTACTTACACTGAGAGAAAACCCCAGAAGTCCCAAGACCCTGAATTTTGCTGTCTCTGCAAAGCCTCAGACCTTTTCCAGTAAAGGCAAAAACCTTTTCTGAAATGACAGAAGTTACAATGTTGTTGACAGATCATTATCAAAGATTACTGGAAGAGATACATCTTTTTCTCTTGTCAAAAAGATTATTATATTATCTTATAGTACAATGAGATTAGTAGTGTCAAAATCTGGGGCTCTGCTACGACTGATGCTGTGCAAAGATGGCAAGTTCCAGATTCCTTGCATTTAAAACAGTAAGAGGAAAGCAATAATATAGATAAGTGAAATAAGATTTTGTTATTTAATGGCATAGCTGAGAAGAAGCTGATATTTAATTGTTAATTCAGTTTTCTAGACACTATATTGCTTTCTTTTCCCAAAGCAAATTCACTGTTAAGCCATTATCCTATTATTTCTTAATCATCATATTAACCAGCAACCAAGAAGATCATTGTCAGATAAAAAATTCTAGATAGCACTATTTCTATGCCTTGTAAATGGATATTAGTGTGGTGTTGTACTTTTGCTATTAGATTTCACAGTGCTGGTGAGCACTAGTGAATGATAAAATCTCACTTAAGGATTTATGTAAAACACTGAGAACTCATGTCTTTTTTTTCTCAGAGGTATTTATGAATCCATAACAGCAGTTTGTGTACAAAATCCATCTAGAAAGGCTATTTCATTCATCCTTAAATGGTTCATTGGAGTACCCTGCAAAATGAGCTATTGTGTTAGAAGTGCTGCTTGATTCTTTTCTTTCCAAAAGGATGCTAATGGTGAGCAAAAAATGTAGGTGCAAAGTGAGCATATATTAAAAACTTCCAGGAAGTACAAGAACTATGCAGGACTAAGAGTTGCTGGTTTGCATTGTTTTTTGTTGTTGTTGTTTTAATAAAAATAATTTGGTAGACAATGAAACTGATCTCTAAATTGTCATCCCAAAGGTCTTAGAAAGGAAAATGTGGTGGACATAAACTGCATATTTCAAACTTGTTGGCTGCTTGAACGTAATGAACTCAGCGAGTTACTTCAGCTCGATTTTAGTTTTGCAGAAGACATGAAGAAAAACACCACACTAAACGTTTCTTCCAGGTGAGTACAACGGAAATAATCTATCTTTTAGACAGTTTTATGCTTTATAGAGGGAGAGAGGAAAAAAAAGCAAATGTGAAGTGTTTTCAGATGTTCTCTAGTGAACTTATTTTTTCATGTGCACTTTGGTAGAAAATGACATGCATTTCCCCTGACATTTACTCATAATTCCAGATTTACTTTTCATTCTGTAGATTTTCTGGACCATGAATAACTTCGACTTCCGAATACATGAATGACAGAAGGCACTTCAACTTCTTGCAGGGGTGGATGCAGTTCCTACTGTTGTATGTAAGTAATTTGGGGTTGTGAGGGGAAAAGCATTTTCTACCTAAATCATGGGCCATTAACTTTGACTTAATATTTCTTTGAGTCCAATATTCTGTGTTTGACTGAACCATATGTTTCTGGAAGACTTATTCTGAAGAAAACGTGACATGTAGAATACCTACTGTTCTACTATTTTTCTTGATAGATCTCTTCCTTTATAAATCATTTTTTCTCTTACTTCCTCTTCTAACCCCAATACAGTTCCTATTTGACACTATTTGACCTGAGCATCCAGCGCTATTTTTCATTGTGACTTTCTCAGTTTTTAGTCTCTGAAAGTATGTTATTGAAAAGGATTTGTTTTCTTGATAAAGCCACACTTCAGTCTTCTTTTAGATAAGCTGAATTGATCATGCTTTTTAATTCTCTCAAGTTAATGCATGTTTTTCAATGCCTTATGTGGCTCCTCTACAGATTCCTCATTTTTTTCCACTTCTTTTTCTCTCCGTTGTAGAGAATGCACAGGGTATTTCAACCTTAAGTTAGCTGATATTGCACTTTTACATGAAAATGACCCTTCAAGTACTATCCACTCTTATCCACCACCCAGTATGGACTCAATTAAGTCCATATGGATTAAGTTTTCCCATCAAGTCATTCAAAACCAGTCTAAGAGGTTAATATTTACTTTCATACAAGGGCCCTTATACATCTTTCCAAGTTATGATTTCACATTTTTTATGTGAGCCTTCATCATTGTTCATATTTGTAGGAGTTTATTTTCACTGCATGTTTGTGCTGTTGTGAGTAATAGAACACTTTGCATGTCTTCATTTGTAATGAACTACTACAGAACAAAGCATTTTTATAGGGTGTGTATCGTAAGAGTTGAAAACAACCCTAAAAAATAAGCCAAGTGCCAGATCACCTGAATATACTCCTTGGTCCTGATTTCCTCATATGAGTTATTTCATTTTGTCCAAGTTTTCATTTCTAATTCTTCAGCTGACTCTCTCTCAGATTAGAACTGCAGTGCTGGTTGAGATGGTGTCACTGTGTTTCACAGAAGGAGGGTCTTGTTCATCCACTACAAAGGAAACAAAAACGAAAACAAAACCAAATTCATTACCTTCGATGAAAGTTCATGTGAAAGCAGTGATGTTTCAGCTGCATTTACCACTGCTTATTTTTAGTACATTTACAGCACGCACACACAACCAAATTATTTTTAACAAAAACCACAGTTTATGACACCTACTAATACAACTGTGAAATTCTGTCCAAAGTATTTGAAAGTCAACATGCATACACTAACAGAAAGTCATATCGCTTAAGTCAAGGTTCCTGTACACAGGTCACCTGGCTTCAGTTTTAGAAAGGGAATACACTGTTGTGCATGATACTGCCTTCACCCCTTGAAGCACATGAGATTGAGTCCAAACAACTTGCATACAGAGACATCAGAAGATGAAATAAGGTAGGATTACTTTAATATGCACTTTCAAATCATAGTATTACGGAATAATGCAGGCTGGGAAGAACCTCTGGAATTCACCCATTCCAAGTCATGCTCTGCATAGGGTCAGAGTAGATACCGTCACCCATAGTTTGCCTCGAGAAAAAACTTTTCCTCAGGTGGAACTACCAGGAATGAAGGAAAGGCTAGATAAATCAGAAACTCCAATAGCCCGATTGTGTCCTTTGATAAAAACTGAATACACATTCGATAACAGTGAGGATCTAGATCCTCAAATGAATGTTAAGGAAATTCCCTTCTCAGCCACTGAACTAGCGAAACTGAAAAAAGATTTTAGCCGCTCTCCAAAGGAATCAGAGACAGAGTATGTGTGGAGGGTGAGTCTCACTGGTGGCGACCAGATTCGGTTAACAGAAAAGGAAGCAGAAGGTTATTGGGGACCAGGAGTATTTTTAACTACTGGCAACAGTCGTGCTCCCTGGTCCTTAACACAAAGGGCTGCCTATTGGGCAGGTGGTCTCAACCCTTTAGAACGGGGAGACCCTCTTGCCATTACTGGAACAACTGATCAGTTAGTAGAGAGTGTTCAAAAGGCTGCTTGTCTCCAAATGATGTATGATAGAAAGCTGCTGCCACACCATAAATCACCTATGATGATGCCTGTCGATCCTGAAAGAATGACCCCTCTGATTAGGGGGCTTCCAGAGTCGTTAAAGCCTATAGGTATTCAACTGCAAGGAAAAATACAGGCAATGCCTCAAGGAGAGCGGGCCCGGGCAGCGATAGAAGGAACTATAACCCCCAACAATCTCCAGACAGCATACAAAGTGTGGACATGGGGGGAGGTCGCTCAAGAGTTAATAAACTACTGCCGAAGGTATGGTCCTGTGACTACCCTCACCGTTAGACCAGAGACTAAGGGAGTAAGGCGTGCAGTGGTTAATCCAACCCCTCTCCCTTCCAACCCAGTTCACGACGGATTTAAAGGGGCTTCATTTTCAGTAAAGCCAAGTGGGCGAAATATAGATCATAAACGTAATTGTCTCTGGATACTGGGCTGGCAAAAGGGTGTTCCACGAGATTTGATGAATGGATTACCCACTGTCAAGTTAGAGAAATTAGTTAACTGGTGGCCAGAACAAAAGATCCAGAATCTTGAGGAAAGCAAAACCCCAGGTCCTACAGTCTCTCCCAGGGAACCTGAATGGCTATCCAAGCCATTGGAAAACTGATGTTTTTGCCCCTCCCAAGTGAGCGGGGTGGGGGCGGTGAAGGGTGGATGCATTAGAAAGCTCACAGCAAAGGGAAACAAGATCCTCCATTTAACACCTTTTGCTAAAGGACTCACCACTCTTGCCAGTTATCCCTGTGAGTCACGATCCAGTGGCTGATAAGCCAGGGAAGCACTCTTACCTCCCTGGCCAGACTGTGTCGATTGACTCAGCTAACCTGAGGCCAGTTCCCCTAACTTTAACAGGATCCCTTAACAAATATCTTTGGAAGGCTAAAGACACCCCGAAAAAGGAATATGAAATCAACACTTGCTGGATTGTTCCCTCATATTTTTTAACCATATTAACAAAGCCCAAAAAGTCGGTGTCTTGTTGTATTTCACAGAAGATCCCCATGGGACCTTGACAGAACACAAAAAGGCTAATAGCTGATTTTAACTATTTGTGTTTTGTGACAGAAATACTGAAGATTTGATCATGCTAGAACACTGAATGTACCTCTTGATTACATTTTTTGGTTGCAATAGTGTTATGTTTTGTGTTGTTGTGGGTATGGGTGGTGACTGGTATCAGTCCTTGGATCTGTTAAACTTCACAGTTCAGGCTCAGGGTTTTTTACAGGTCATCCTGGCTTACTGGTACTCCCTGCACAGTGATACCATTTCTTTTGACCCCTTCTTTCACCCCTTTTTACCAAACTGATTATGATTTGCATGTAACTCCTCCACAGTGTTTCCAAATTCCTAACAAACTGGGAAATGAATCAAGGGACCCATCTAATCTCTATTAGATGTGGTCACAAAAGAAAACTATCATAAAGCCTTTTGCACTGATGCTTTTCAGTGTCACACCAGTCCAGGAGTTCCATCCAAAACATGGTTGTTGGAAAGTGCCTAAGTTTTAAAAAGAGATGTGTATGTTTCTGGGATTACCCCTCTTTGATGGTGTGTACTCTGGGGGTATCCTGCACACACTGTCCTGTGAAAAGTTCTGTGGACTGTAACAATACTTGAACTTGCCAAACTAATATTTATATCTCTCAGCATTTGAATTGCTTTGGAAATGCTCAAGTGTAAAGTCCTTGAGACACTAAATCATCTTAGAAAACATTACATGGCAAGTCCACATATTGTCAAATTAGACTAGATACACTTTTAGTGAATTAACTGTAGTGTAATCTTGTATGGCTATTCATAAACACCACAACCTCTACTGAAGAATTCCCGTCTGGATCCTGGCTTACACTGGGAGTTCCTGGGTGGGGAAAGCAGCTGACACAAATACCTAAGTTTGTTTAACTTATTTATTTATTAATATTGGTTATTGTTAAATGTATGGTCATTGCTAAATGTATGGTTGTCTCTTTTCACTTTCTACCTTTAATTCATCATGTAACATTCGTGTCACCACTCCTGAGGTATCACTGAGTGGTGTCTGTGGCAAATTGAATTACTCTAATTGTTGTCTAAAGATTGATGATAATGGTAAAGTTGTTAAACAAATTGCCCAGGGTATATGGAAAATAGCCCATGTTCCTGTCCAAACCCGGAAAAGCCTGGATGTTGATTTCTTTTCCTGGCTTCCAGGTGGCCCATGGGTCAAACGTCTCCTATTTTACTACTGTGTGTTGTTGCAACTCTTATGTTTCTACCTTGTATGATTCCATGTTTTATTCAACTTATATAACATGTTGTATCCTTCATGTACTTTGTAACCACTTCAACTGATGATGGACAAGTCCAACAGATCAGGGCAACATTTGTAACCAAGCCCAAGAAATCTTTTGTAGTAATTGTGTAATTATCTTCCCCTTCTCCCCTTCCTCCTTCCACCCCTGCTTCTTTGCTGTCTTTTTATTTTCTCCCTTTTCTTTTCCTCACCACCCTGGAGGGTCACTTATGCTGTATTCCAAGCAATCTTTGAGCCACCGGGTGGTGTGAGAATCCTTCTTTGTTTTTTTTTTT